ATATTGCAAATATAAAAGGCAAACTAATAACAGGCCTTTATATCTATGGACATATAAATCCTTAAATTAAGGCCCTACAGCTGGAGGTGATGCTGTAGAACACAAAGGGAGCAGTAATAGAACAGAAATAAAACCCTCTAACACTGATAACAGCCAATATAACAACACAGGTTATCCATACATGGACATAAAACCCCTAAATTAGGGCACTAACTATAGATGATGCCATTACACAGCACAGCAGCGGCTGTGGTTTATGGCAGCACAGCCCCTCACCTTGGCAGAGTAAAGCTGGGTGTGGGACACACCACATCCCTCTGCTGGGTGCTGGTGCAGGTGGGACACAGAGCACAAGGAGCATTTCTGTCCTTTACAGAACGGGGACTGTGCCTGTCCTGTGTCAGAACTTCAGCATCACGTTGTTATTATTATTATAATAATGTGCTACACTGTACATTCAGCATTACTCACATTTTAACATCTATCACTGTACATTCAGCATTATAATTAGCACTGTTACATCATGATACATTACAGGACACTGTGTACAGCATTGAGCACTAGAGCTTGACACATCCCAGGCGTTGCATTGCATGGAGTGGGACAATTTTGGGATGATGATGTGACACATTCTTTATAGCACAGCGCGTTCTCTATGGCACAACACGTTCTCCCTCTACAGCAGGACCTGTTCTGTGTAGCACAACACATTCTCGGTAGAACAACACTTTCTCTAGCCCAAGGCATTCTCTGTAGCACAGAGGTTTTCCATAGCACAGGTTCTCCGTGGCCCAACCTGTTCTCTGTAGCACAACACATTTTCAATAGAACACGCTCTTTGTAGCCTAACACATTCTCTGTAGCACAGGTTCTCCATAGAACATGTTCTCCATAGCCCAACTCATTCTCTGTACCCCAACATGTTCTCCATAGCCCAACACATTCCCTGTGGCCCAACGTGTTGTCCACAGCACAGGTTCGCCGTAGTCCAATGTGTTCTCCATAGTCCAATGCCCAATTTTTTTGTTCTCCATAGTCCAATGTGTTCTCCGTAGTCCAATGTGTTCTCCATAGCCCAACTCATTCTCCATAGCCCAACGCATTCCCTGTTGCCCAACGTGTTCTCCACAGCACAGGTTCTCCATAGTCCAACGTGTTCTCCTTAGTCCAATGCCCAATTTTTGTGTTCTCCGTAGCCCAACGTGTTCTCCATAGTCCAGTGTGTTCTCCATAGTCCAATGCCCAATTTTTGTGTTCTCCGTAGCCCAACGTGTTCTCCATAGTCCAATGTGTTCTCCACAGCCCAGCTCATTCTCCACAGCACATGTTCTCCATACCCAACGCCAACACGTCCAGAGGGTGGGGAGCAATAGGGTCCCTCCAGAGCCTTACCTTGCCCGCTCTTCCCTCGGCAGGTGACTACTGCAACCTCCCGCTGTACGTCAAGTCGGAGGCCTTCTTCCGCAAGCCCGACGCGCACGAGCCGTGCCCGGTGGTGCCGCCGCGGGAAGCCTCCATCCGCAACCTGGCGCGGGCGTACCACGCGCAGGCCCGGCACATGACGCTGGAGCCCGGCGCCAAGCCCCTGGGGCTGCCTCCCCCGGCCTCCGCCGCAACCACCTTACCTCAGAGGACTCTCCCCATGCCCGGCCCGGCCGGCCCCGCGCCCGCGCCCGCTGCCAGCGCCGCCCCGGCTCCCCCCGTGCCCGCCGAGCCCCCCGTGCCCGCCGGTGCCGCCGCCGAGGCGCGGGTGCCCACGCACTCCAAAGTGGGGGGCTCCAGGGACTCGCTGCTGGAGATGAGCACGTCGGGGGTAGGCAGGTCTCAAAAACAGGGCGCCGGAGCCTACTCCAAGTCCTACACGCTGGTGTAGGGCCAACGCCGGATGCTGCTCGTTTCCCCGCGCCGTTTATATTTAATTAACAAACTTGTACATAACGGACTCTTTTGTATAAATGAAGCTATTTTCTTCTTCTCCGAACAGAAAAAGAAACCAGGGCACAAAGAATTTGATGTTACAGATTTAAAAATATAATATATATGTAAACATATATATATATTTCACATCATTTTGAAAGGGGCACAAGGAAAGACTCAGCGACTTTTTTTTTTTTCTTTCCCTGATCTTGTCGGTGGTTTTAAAAAAGGAACGTCTCCGAGACATTGCATGCTATTTTACTGTTCTGAAAACAGCAGGAGTTGCTTCAATTTGCAAATGCTTATGTGTTAATACCTTTTTCTATGAAAAAAAACCCAGCGCTGTGTGCAATAAAGGTTATGTTTATATGTGGGGCGTTTGTGAAGTGAGCAGGGAATCAGGCAGAGCAGGGCTGGGGCAGGACAGGGCAGGAAGATGGAGAGGGACAGCTCAGGGCAGCCAAAGCACAGAAATACCAAGAGAAGGGGTTGAATATTAAAGAATAATAAGGCAATTATCCACCTGCAGAGCTGTGGGGCAGCAGGAGGGTCAGGAACTGCAGCAAAGTCCTGGGAATGGTTCCATGGAGCAGGACAGACCAGAGTGTGCCACAGCACTGAGAGAGCAGTACCAAGTCCAGCTCCAGCTCAGGACAAAGCATGGTGCCAAACAGGAATCCTGGCCCAGCTGCAGAGGGGTGAACGGCTGCCCAGCCCTCAGGAGCCACAGCACAGCTCTGGCAACTCACGGTAAGTGCAGGGTGGCTCCAGCACGGGATCCAGCGTGCAGGGAGGCACAGCAGCTCCTCCAGGCAGGGTCTTGCTCCAGCTGGGAGCAGGAGAAGGAGCCCCACTGTCCTTGGTCACTCTGGAACGTGTCGTGGTGGATCCAGCACAGCCTGGAGCCCAGGGAATGCAGCACAGAGCCCTGGCCCTGGTGTCCCTGCCTCCCTGAATCATGGTGAGTCCTGGCTCAGGGCAGCACAGGTGCCCCAGGACACAGGGCAGCATCACCCAGCACCGCCTCACCCCATAATTTGTTCTTATTTTCCCTTTAGTTTTCACCACCAGCCACACCAATATCAGACCAAAAAAATGCTGGAGCTACTTCCCCCCCTTTCATACAAGGCTGTGAAAACACAAGCACTTGGAACCCCAGGGCTGCCAGCACTCCTTACCTGCTCCAAAGGCAAAAAGCAGCTCAGGCCATTATTAACTCTTGTTTTAGTTACCCAAAGTAGAACTTCCCCTTTCTGAGGAGCTTCTGGTGCTGTCTGAGGTGCAGTTAACTAATTGCACTTTCATTTCCTTTTTTCCTGTCATTTATAAGCTCAGGTTTCCATTACTTTCCCATCCATGCAGGCTACCAGCTGGGTCCAGCTCTTTCCTTACAAACAGATCCATTTCCTATTTTAGCCCAAAGCAGTTGGAGTATCTACACACAGATTTGTACCATTCTCTTTTTTTTTTTTTTTTTTTTTTTGCTCTTGACAGGGTTTAATTCATCATCAGCTATAATCAAGCACTGCAGAGGTCATTTTTTTCAACCTCTCTCTCTCCTTGATTTTTTTTTTTTTAATTGGAGTACCCAAATTAAAATGACATGCAAATACAGCGATGTTACTGCAGCTCTGCAGTGCCCTTCCCAGCCTGCTGGCACACTGGCCAGCAGATCCTCCTCTGCCATCTGGTTCTTCCTAACTGAGGTAACTCCTGGAATCCTGCAGAGCAGGAAGCGCCTTGGCCAGAGCCTGGCAGCTGTTCACCTCTGGGCCTTGAGAAACAAGCTGCTGAGACAATATCTTGTGCCCATTTTTTATCATTTTTGGCCATTATTCAGGTACCACTCAGAGCCAACCTCTGTCAAGGAAGATCCCATGCGGAGAGGGGCACCACCCTTCCCAGCCAGGCTGGTGGGGAGGCATCAGAGCACATAACATCTATAAACCATTACACAACACAGGTTTTAAAGAAAACCAAGTGCCCAGCCCTTAAAGCAGGGTCACAGCCAGGCAGCACCTCCAAAATACCAACCCCAGGCTTAGAATAGAAATGGAAGGGGAAAACAGAATTAAAAATAGAAGAGTCAAGAAAAGGCAAGCGTGTTCAGCTGTGAGAGTAAGCAGATTAGCAAGATAAAAAGAGGAACAGATTAACAGAGATTAATACAACTTTATTGGAATTGGCTGGTACAGATTTCCCTCTACATCTCAGCAAGGATCCCCCCCTTCCCTTCCCCAGCAGGCACAAGCCCTGGCCCTGCACATTTTAACACAGCACGAGTTCCCAGCAGCCCCCCTGAGCCCCTGCCACCCCCCTGCTCCCAGGGAGCCCCCTGCCCTTCACCACAGCAGGATGGGAGGAGAACAGCCCCCTCAGGCCATGCCAGCCCAGCTCTGCCTCCCAACAGCAGGGAAGAAGCCCCCAAGCTCAGGAATGCCTCAGAGGGGCAGCCCAAGGGGCTAGGTGGGCTCCAAACCCAACCCCAGCGTTGCCAGGGGCCTGTGTGGGGAAGGAGAGCAGGGTCACCCTCAGGACACAGAGTCCCTGTTCTGGAACCAGGACACCCCAAGCAGCTCTCCCCAGGGAAAGGTAAGAGCAGCTCCCAGCTCACCTCCTGCTCCCCTCCTCGCCTGCAGCACGTTCCCCTGGCAATGTCCCACCCAGGCTGGCCCCACACTCCCTGCTGACCTCTCTGCTGGCCACACAGAGCAGGGGACAAAGGCAACTGTTCCAGCCAGCTCCAGAGGCAGAGCGGAGGAGGTGGAGGCACCGGGGAGGGTCCTTGGGGTGAAACAAGCCCCAGCTGGGCAGTGACCAGCCTGCAGAACCAGACCCTGCTGTGCAGGACCCCCTCCCACCCACCCACACAGCTGCTGGGGCTCACAGCATCACTCAAGGGCTGGCCAAGGCTCCCAAATGTGCTGTGACCCCTGTGCCCTGTCCCCTGCAGCTCCTCAGCAGCTGTGACCTGGCCCACAAAGTGATGCTGTCTGGGGAAGGAGTGAGCAGGACAGAGAACTCCCTGTGAGCACCAACACAAGGGCAGAGAACCTACACCTGCACCAGGAGCTACGTATGGGGGGCAGGTTCACGGTCACCACGGCCCCAAATGTCTCTGGGGAACAGAACACACAAACAGGAGGGACAGTGCAGGCCACAGGTGGCTGCTGTGGCTACTTCTTCTCCTGCTTCTGCTGCTGGTACCTCCTGAAGTGGGTCTGGATGGTGATAGCTGCTCTCTCAGATGGGTCAGTGACCTTGCTCTCCTTGCTGCCATCAGGGGTCACGTCACCTGGGGGGCAAACAGAGCATCCCAGTGAGCACAGACAGTGCCAGCAGCCCTGCACAGGCTCCATGGAGCAGGGCAGGGCTCTGGCATCACCCCCAGAGGGTCAGTGGGCTCCCCATTCCCCAGGCAGGACAGCTGTCCCTGCTGCAGGGCTCACAGCATGAAACCACAGGGACACCCCCGTGGCAGAAGGAGCAGGGAGCAGGAGGCAGAGCAAAGCCCAGCCTCCCTGGCAGGGCTAAGCCCTCTGTTTACCCAGCCCCAGTCCCCGAAGGCAGCAGCTTCCCCACGTTTAATCAGCACGTAGGATGCTCACTTACTTTCGCACACACAAATAAGATTAGAAGGCAGCCCGGCCCCGCGCAGCAATAAAGCTCTCACGCTGACAAATGGGAGCCCTCCCCACTCCTGCCTAATGTGGCATTAGGGAAGTATTGTGAAATTCAACAGGAACTGCATCAAAGGCACTCAGCGGTGCTCCTCTAAGCCACTGTGTCACTGCTAAGCACCCCCCGAGCAGCCATCAGCAATCCTGGGGCCAGATGCTGCTGAATAAACTCACCGCTGCCACCTGAACCCATCTCCTTTGCCTGCCTGAGAGAAACTGCAGAATAAAGGGACAAATAAAAGGAGGCATTGGGCTCCTCTCTGCCCTGCTCAACAAGACACTGCCAGCTGTGAACCCTGCCAGGGGCAGAGGCTGAGGACAGGCACAGCTGGGCACTGGCAGGGTGAGCCCTGGCACAGACACATTGGGGGTATAAAATCAGCCCCTGGCACCCCAGAGCTGCCCCTGTTTGCAGGGAGCCCCAGGCCAGCAGCCAGGCTGGGCAGAGCTCCTGGGCCATGGGCAGGGTGGCACCCCCAGCCCCCCCACACCCATTATCCGCTCAGCACTGAGAATAGAAGGGCTCAAATCCTCTTTGCTGAGCACTGCAGGGCCTCGAGACAAGGCCAAAGAGAGGAGGGGGGATGCCAGGTGGTTCTCCCAGAAGCAGGAGAAGGGGCTGTTTGATGGGACAGCATGGCCCCAGCTGAGCCAGTGGGGCAGATTTCCTGGGGAGAGGGGAGCTGGGGTCTGCACAGACACACTGGGGTCATAAAATCAGCCCTGCAGCACTGGGACTTCACTGGCTGATGCCACACACATTAACAATTATCTCACCATCAAATACCCCTTAATAACATCACAGACAGATCTGTGGAAGGAGAAGGAGGCCAAGAAGGATGGGAAGGAGAAAGACACCAAGAAGGATGCAGGTACTGCAGTGCCTGCTCTTCTGCTGCAGCCCCAGCCCCAGCCATGAGTTCCACCTGTTTCCTGTGTTGACTGGGGGGTTTTCCCTGCCTCCCTGCCTGTTCCACACTCACCTTTCTCTCCAGAAAGCGAGTAGATGCTGTTATGCCGGGAGTTCCTGCCTCTCTAGAAAGGTAGAGAAATAAAATAAAAGTTAGTTCTGTCCCGGGCAGAGGCAGTGAGGGCAGCCCCTCTCAGCCCAGCCAGGAACCCTTCCACTCTCCATTCCCTTTAGGAAACTGGAACATGCTCACTGCTGTTCCCTTAAAGAGCACTGATTAATTCATCTGCATTTATGAAATGACCTCCAAGGAGAGGCAGGCAATAGCTTTGCATCCAAACTCAGAGCTGTGAGATGCTGCAGTCCATGGATGGATGTTGGCACTGGCTATCCTCACTGGATCTGCATTTCAAACCAGTGAGGAGGCAGCCCCTACACCATGAACCTGCAGCTCCTGGGCTGCCAGGTCTTCCAGGAGACGTTTCCATTTCTAAAAATAAGCTTGAATTTGTCTGCAAATGCCAGCTTACCCTGCCCTCCTGGCATTACATTTCCCCCTTGCCTAAACCTCCAGGCTGCCTGGCTCACAGCTGCCCCTGCAGCAGCACTGCCACCCCCTGAGCTCAGCAGTGCCAGCCTCCCTCACCTCACACCTGGCTGTCCTGGCAGTGCCAGCCTCCCTCACCTCACACCTGGCTGTCCCGGCAGTGCCAGTTTCCCTCACCTCACACCTGGCTGTCCCGGCAGTGCCAGTTTCCCTCACCTCACCCCTGGCTGTCCTGGCAGTGCCAGCTTCCCTCACCTCACCCCTGGCTGTCCTGGCAGTGCCAGCAACCCTCACCTCACCTGGCTGTCCTGGCAGTGCCAGCCTCCCTCACCTCACCCCTGGCTGTCCTGGCAGTGCCAGCAACCCTCACCTCACACCTGGCTGTCCTGGCAGTGCCAGCCTCCCTCACCTCACCCCTGGCTGTCCTGGCAGTGCCAGCAGCCTCACCTGGCTGTCCTGGCTGTGCCAGCCTCCCTCACCTCACCCCTGGCTGTCCTGGCAGTGCCAGCATCCCTCACCTCACCCCTGGCTGTCCTGGCAGTGCCAGCATCCCTCACCTCACCCCTGGCTGTCCTGGCAGTGCCAGCATCCCTCACCTCACCCCTGGCTGTCCCAGCCTCCCTCCCCTGCATGTCCCAGCCTCCCTCACCTCACCTGGCTGTCCCAGCAGTGCCAGCATCCCTCACCTCACCTGGCTGTCCTGGCAGTGCCAGCCTCCCTCACCTCACCTGGCTGTCCCAGCAGTGCCAGCATCCCTCACCTCACCTGGCTGTCCTGGCAGTGCCAGCATCCTCACCTGGCTGTCCCAGCCTCCCTCCCCTGTGTGTCCCAGCCTCCCTCACCTCGCTGTCCCGGCTGGTGCGGCGGCTCTGGGACACGCACTGGATCTGCCAGGGCAGGGGCTGGTACACCAGGTAGGGCAGGGGCTCCTCACGGAACAGGTTGGTCCCCAGCTGCACACGGGGAAGGTTTTTCAGCAGGGAAGAGCACAGGAGAGGAAGAGGAACAGAAAGAGCTGCTCAGCCACGCTCAGCACCGGAGATCCCAGCCCTACCCAACCACAGCAACCCCACAGAGCTCCCAGCCCTCCTGCCCAGGTGGTTTAGGAGGCACAGAGGCCGTTCCCAGCAGGGCAGGCAGGAGCTGCTGCCTCCTCTGCCCACCGCAGGCAGGAGAGAACAGCACTGCAGCAATAGAAGCTCCCTCTGGGAGGACTCACCTGTCTGACCACCCTGACCACGAAGAACAGCGCTGTCATCAGGGTGCCCAGCATGGCCAGGGCTGCCTCGGCCCAGCAGCTCTGGGAGCAGCACTCCAGGACCTCCACCAGCAGAACTGAGCTGAGCCTCCTTGGGCAGGCACAGGCCAAGCCCCTTAATGAGCTTACAGCCCTGCTCAGCCCGCTGAAGTAATCAGGCCCTGCCCTTTTGCTCTTCTAATCGCAGAGTTTCTCCAACAGACAGTGCTGGCATTCCAGGAAAGGCAAATCCTCTGCTCCAGGAGCAGGGACAGCTCACCCAGCCCACAGCTGCTCCCTGGGGAGCCACCTCAGCAGGGTCACAGACTGGGATGTCTCAGAACCTCCCTGAACGGCTCAGCAGTGGCGTGGGAGACTTGGCCCCAGCAGTGCCTGCCTGGACACTGTGCTGCCTCCAGAGCTCCTGTCCTGCTCTCCAGAGGGCAAACACACACCAGGGCAGCTCAGGCACAGCAGCAACTGGGGCAAAAAAGCCTGGTGGTGGTTTGTTTTCTTTCCGAGGACAAAACTATCGGCCTCCACTTGTCCCCAAGCAGCTGATGCACACCCTGCTCCCCCTGTGCCTCACCTGATGCACACCCTGCTCCCCTGGGCCTCACCAGCTCCCACAGGCTGCTGGCAGGAGGTGAGCAGGAGATGGGAGCAGGAGAAGAACACATCACCAAGCCTCCCTAGCTCTTGGTTACTCAGAGATCCCACAGCACCCAGCAGGTTGCTGGGACAATTCCTGGCTGCTCCCAAAGCCAGGGGAAAGCAGCAGCCAGAGCCAAGCTGCAGTGAGACATCTTTCACAGGTCCCAGGCTGCCAGAGCGATGCCTTGTTTGCGTTTTGTAGTTTTGGTTTTCAGCTTTCTTCTCTCTGCCTCTGCATTTGCTACCCGGTCCAGATGCTTAAAAGAATAATGGCAACAAAGCCCCAGCGAGCTTAAGTGGTCTTGGGAACTGCCAGAAGTGACCTTGACAAGGAAAAACACGAGAGAGCCCAGAGACAGGGGGAGATGTGAGAGGTAAGTACAGCTGGATACCCAGCTACAACAAAACAGAGTGACAACCACCAGCATCATACAAAACAGGCTCATGTTGATTTAATTTATACAAAACCAGATACAGCTGCTGTCCCGGGTTTTAACAGGAAAAAGGAGCATGTTTCAAACCAAGTTATTGTTTAAAAAAATGGCATTTCCCTGCACCATTAATGCATACTTCTCCCAAAACACAGAATGGACTCAGTGATATGGCTTGGGCCACAGCTACCACAACTGTGGGGTCCCCTCTAAAACCCCTGGCTGGAAGGACTGCCCTGTGTCCTCTGAGTATGCAGTAAACTAAAAGCAAAATCCCTGCAGGAAGGGGTTTGTGCAGTCCAGCAGCAGGGGCAATACCCTTGCTTGGATCCCTCCTTTCCTAGGAAGGAATAAGGCTACTGAGCAATTACAAAAACTCTAGAAAAACAGCAAGGAAAAATAAAATAAATACATTCTTAAGAGCTTCAAAATGATGTCCATCAAAAATATATTTCCCTATTTCTATTTGCATGTAAACATCCCCGTGCCAGGCTCAGGGTGTGTGCCAGGCTCAGGGTGTGTGCCAGGCTCAGGGTGTGTGCCAGCACGCTGCACCCAGCGAGCAGAGCAGGGGGCTCCCCCTGCCCACCCTGGCCCAGCCCAGGGGCTCTCCCAGCACGGGGGCCGTGGGGCAGCAGCTCCAGAGCCTCCCCCAGCAGCTGTGTCAGGAGAAAGGCTTTGAAGAGGGCTCCTCACAGACGGGCTCCTTGCAGCGCAGCGTCCTCGGCAGCCGCGACGGGCGGGCGGCTCGGCAGCTTTTTAAAGCATCAAATATTTAGAGTCAGCTCGGAGCAAATACTGACAAAGACGACCAAAGAGCACGTTCCCATGAAAGCCTGGCTCCTGCCCGCTGGGCAGGGTGAAAGCCCTCCCAGCCCCAAGCACCCCAGCGGGCTGGGGCACCCTCTGCATGTGGCCCTTGCAGAGGAACCTGGTGAGCAAAGCCAGGAGCCACTGTGAGCTCCAGGAGCTGCCCATCCCAACTCCTCAGCCACTCTCCAGCCTTCCCACAGCCCTGATCCCCACGGATCTGCTGCAGGAGCAACAATTTGGGGCTCCAGGATTCATGGCAGGGGCTCCCACCCGCGCATGAAAGGGGTCCCAGCTGCTGAGCTGGATCCCTCTCCCCCCAGGGGCATGGAGGATGCAGGTGGGGCTGTCCCAGCACCCACAGGAGCTCCTCACTGTGCCTGCACAGACCCTCCTGAGTCCTGCCACCATCCTGCTCCTGCTGCCAGCACAGGGCAGAGCTGCAGCAGCTGCTTTGCTGCTCAGCTCTGGCCAGCCTGGCATGAAAGGAGCAGGGAGGGCTCCTCCAGATCTGCCACTCTTGGCTCAGCTCCCACACCCCAAACCAGCAGAACATTCCCCAGGAGCCAGCACGTGCCATTCCCTGATTTTACCCCCATTCTGCTGCTCCCACGTGCCAGAGGCCACCTGGCACTGCCCACCTGCCACCAAGCACTGCTGGGCACGGGGGCAGGCTCATTCCCTGACCCATTTCCTCCAGCAGGGCCTCAGCTGGATCCACATCGTCCCCCTTGACCAGTTAACTCCAATCCTCTGTGATTCACAGCCCTGCCTCGCCATCGCTGGAATACCAATGAGGGCAATGTTGATTTATTGAAGCCCTGATATGTCACTGCTGGATTAAACAGTCTATAAAGTATATTTGGACACATTACAGGATTAGAAGAACCCGCCTGGGAAGTTCTATTTCCCCTTCCTCACTCTCTTGCAGAATCACCCAGTTTCAAGGACGTGGCCACAGACACAGTGGAGGTGCCTGGGTGGGGATCCCCAAAACCCAGCCCATGGTGTGGAGCCTGCAGAGGCCCCCCCACCCCATCCCTGCAGAGGAGAACCCCACCTTTCAGTAGTGGTACACCTTGATCTCTCTGTTTTCATCCAGCCCCAGCTGCAGGAGGCTGGGGCTGCTGCCTGGGGGCTGCTGTGCCCGTGGGGAGAGAGCTCTGGCAGCTGGGTGAAGGAAAAGCCTGGTTCAGAGCAGGGCCCAGCCCAGCCAGGACAGGAACCGGGTACCAGAGCCAGCCCGGTGCACACAGGCTGTGCTTGGCCTGGTCCATCCCAGCCAAATGGAATTGGGGGGGATTAGGGAATTCAGAGGCACACCATGCTCAGGGCAGCACGGAGCCCACGGGGATGGGGCACTGAGGAGACACCCAGAGCCCAGCACAGCCTGGGAGCATCCCTGCTCGCTGCACAGAGAGGTCCTGCCCCCTGGATCCAGCCCCGTGCTTCAGGATTCCTCAAACCAGACCTGGATCCAGCTCTGGGGGGAGCCCAGCCCTCCCTGCCCCACCAGTCACACATCTGCAGGGGCCCTCACCTCCTCCAGGCTGCCCAGCAGGCTCTGCCCATGCCAAGGGCTCCATCCACAGCACCAGAAGCAGCTCTGCAAAGCCAGACCCCCTTCCTGCCCACCCCATCCTCCACTCTGCGCTGTTTAAATCTGTATTTTTAAATCTTCACCTTCCCTGCCCAAACTGCTCCCCTACAGCTGAGCAGCATCCCTGAACACCATCACAACACAGGGAAAGGAAGGGAAACTTCCATATTTTTAAATCTTCACTTTCCCTGCCCAAACTGCTCCCCTACAGCTGAGCAGCATCCCTGAACACCATCACAACACAGGGAAAGGAAGGGAAACTCCCATATTTTAAAATCTTCACTTTCCCTGCCCAAACTGCTCCCCTACAGCTGAGCAGCATCACTGAACACCATCACAACACAGGGAAAGGAAGGGAAACTCCCTCAGTCAGGTACAGCCCAGAGAGCAGCACACAGATCACTCCTGCTCCATCTGCTGAACACCCCTGCAGCACCAGGAACTGCAACAGAGGCCAAGGCCTCGAAATTGCTGCTCAGTTCTTCATTTCACACCCCTCCTGCCACCCTCCTCCCACCTTCTGCGGGAAGCAGGAATGCAATTAAAGACCAGAGCCAGGTAAAAGATACACTTTGGAATCCTTCTTGAAGTCTTTCAGCCATTTCTTGTTGCTCTCAATCATCCCCTCAATATTCTTTGTCTCTGGTTCACTGAACTTGGAATGCTGGAAGAGCCTGATTTGTTCACTGTGGCAGAGAGAGAGATAGAGAGAGGGTAAGTGGGGGAAAAAAGAGGTCTGGGAAGAAATTATCCCAGAGATGAGAAAGTGATGGGCTGCGAAAACACCTCCAGTAATGTATCTACTGATAGTTCACCTTTTCTCCTTAGTAAGTAGTTCACAGTAATTATCAAATTGTAATGTACTGGTTACGTGAGGAGTGACCAATAATCAGTGCAGAGAAACAAAGCAGCACAGGGGAACTCAAGGAAAAAGTCCTTACTCTGCAGGGACATAGCCCAGCTTGCTGTCCAGGGGCACAGGAGTCCCACCAAGCCATGAGAACCCACCTGCAAAACAGACATGAAACACAGAGCCCACAAAATGCACACATGAAACACAGAGCCCACAAAATCCACATTTCTGCCTGGGTGTGCTCTCCTGCCCCACAAGGACACAGATGGAGACCCCTGGTGACACAGGGGACAGGGCTGGCTCCTCCTTTGCTGCTCCATTGGGT